AGAAAGAAAGAAAGAAAGAAAGAAAGAAAGAAAGAAAGAAAGAAAGAGAGAGAAAGAAAGAAAGAAAATTACAAAGGGATATTTACAAAATGCCAGTCATAATAGCATCAAAAATTATAAAATACTTAGAAATGAATTTAACAGAGAATGTGTAGACCTCTACAATGAAAAGTATAAAACATTCCTGAGAGAGATTTAAGAAAACCTAAATAAATTGAGAGATATATTCTACACTAATGAATTAGAAAACCTAATATTAAGATTGATTTCCCCCAAATTGATCTATGAGTCCAGTGCTATCCCACTCAGTATCACAGCCAGATTGGTAGTCGTAGATAAGCTGATTTTAAAATGTATATAGAAATTTGAAGGCTCTAGAATAGCCCAAAAATTTTTGAAAAAGAACTGTGTTTGCATTTCCATATAAGTTTTAGAACAGCTAAAACAAACTTAAACTAGAAGAAAAAATTTAGAAGATCCATACTATCTGATTTCAAATAATCATGTTGAAAATACTGGATATCCATATGGAAAAATGTAGTTTAATCTTTAACTCAAACCACACAAGAATTAATTTGAAATTGGTTAGAGACTTAAACTTAGAAGCTAACACCATAAAACTTTTAGAAGAAACTTTGTGATATCTTAGAGTAAACAAAATTTCTTAGAGAGGACACAAAAAGTATTAGCCATGACCAAATTGAAAAAGTAGAATACACTAAATCAAAAACATGTGCTTTTAAAAAGATAATGAATAAGCAAGCCACAGACAAGGAGACAATATTCACATAAAATAATTAATATGACATAACAATATGCACATATATATATACCAAAATACTTGTAATCAGAATATATAAAGAACTCCCTAAAATCACCAATAAATAGATTAACAGTCCTCCAAAATGGCCTAAGACTTGAACAGACAGTTTATAAAAGAAGATATAGGAATGGCCAATAAGCACATGAAAAGATACTCAACATCATTACCCATTAAGGAAATCCAAATCAAACCACAATGAGATAATACTTTATACTAGTGGTCCCTAACCTTTTTGGCACTAGAGACCAGTTTCGTAGAAGACAATTTTTCATGGACCAGTGTGGGGATGGTTTTGGGATGATTCAAGGGCATTACATTTATTGTGCACTTTATTTCTATTATTATTACATTGTCATACATAATGAAATAATACAACTCACCATAATGTAGAATCACTGGGAGCCTTGAGCTTGTTTTCCTGCAACTAGACAGTCCCATCTGGGAGTTATGGGAGTCAGTGACAGATCATCAGGCATTAGGTTCTCATAAGGAGTGTGCAACTTAGATCCCTTGCATGTGCAGTTCATAATAGGGTTCATGCTCCTATGAGAATCTAATGCCACCGCCGATCTGACAGAAGGTGGAGCTCAGGTGGTAATGCAAGTGATGGAGAGTGGCTGTAAATACAGACTTCCTTCTGTGAAGTCTGGTTCCACGGCCCAGGGATTGGAGACCCCTGCTTTATACCCCTGCTTATACCAAAATGACAGTACATAATGTTGAAGAGGATGTGGAGCAACTGAAACTCTCATACATTGCTGGTGGGGAAGTAAAATGTTACAACCATTTTGGAAACCTGTTTGGCATTTTCTTATAAGGGTAAATATACACTGGCCTTATAACACCGATATTATATTCCTAGATTTTACCTAAGAGAAATGAAAACATATGCCCACAAAAAGACTGTATATAAATTTTTATAGTGGGTATATGCATAATAGTTAAAAATACAACCTAAATGCTCAACAGTAAAATTGATTAGCAAATTATGGTATATTTATACAATGTAATATGAGAGAACAATAAATATAAATGAACTACTGATACATGAAATTAGGTGAAAAAATTTCAAAAATATTAAAATGAATAAAATAAATCAGATACAAAAAAGTAGAAACACTGTGATTCCATTTATATGACCCTCAAAAAAGGTAAAATGATCCTATGGTGAAAAAATCAGGACAATGGTTATGGTTGCCTCTGGGGAAAGACACTCTTTGCTGGGAAAGGGCACAGAAGAACTTTCTGAGGTGAAAAATGTTCGATATTTTTTTTAAGACTCCTAGGCTGGAGTCCTGTGGTGTGCTCTTGGCTCACTGCAACCTCTGCCTCCTGGGCTCAAGCATCCTCCAACCTCAACCTTCTGAGTAGTTAGAACTACAGGCGTGGGTCAACATGCTCCGCTAATTTTTGTATTTTTTGTAGAGACAGGGTTTTGCCATGTTGCCCAGGCTAGTCTCAAACTCCTGGGCTCAAGCGACCTACCAGCTGCCAGTCTCGATCTCCCAAAGTGCTGGGATTATAGGTGTGAAAACCTGGCAATGTTCTGTATCTTACTGGGGTGGTGTTGACAAGGATGTGTACATTTGTTGAATCTCATCAAACTGCATGCTACATATATATACAAATTACAGTTCATTAAAAATTATTTTTAATGGTATTGCCTAGCTTGATCACCTGCTTTATTTGGTACATGTGGTAGCAAACAATGACTTTTAGTTGCTTTCAAAAAAAATCAATCAACTTGTAAATCAATCAATCAATCACACAGCACAGAGCTTCTTGTTCTGTGACCCTTAGAAATTTTCTCCAGGGCTCTGGGGTAGGCCAGAGAAATGCCTCTGGATGAACCCCAGCTGCTGCTCTTGTAGCCATTTGCTCTTCAGCTGGACCAAGCCTGCCTTGGCCTGCCTGCCTGCCTGCCTGACTACTGAAAGCTTCTTCCCTGGTTCCTGCTGAGCTTCCTCTCCTAGAAGCAGCCCCTGCTTCTTCTCCTTGTTGCACAGAATCAGAGGGAAAGTGCTGGTACGGTGGTTGCGGTGGGATGGGTTCACCTCTTTCACTTGGCTCAGAAAGAAAATGGAACTGGGCCTGATCTTTTTCACTAGGAGGCCAGGAGGTTCACTGTGTTATATCATTGCCACTTGCTTGGCTTTCTCTTAGATTCTGGAGCATACCAAACTTTTTTTTTTAACTTGGAGCTTGTGTACTTGCTGTCTCCCTTGTCAGAAAATTTCTATCCCCAGACCTCAGGTCTTCACATGGCTAGCTCCCTCTTTCCTTTGGATTTTAAGATAACTCTCAGTTCTTCAAGAAGGCTTTGTCTTTGCAGCTTCCCCCAGGATTCTGTTTCATGGTACTACTTAATTCTTTCATCATGGCCACCATTTGTAATTTTATTTTTATTTTAGTGTTTATTTATTTAAAAATCTTTCTCTCCCACTAAACTATAGTTTTCTGAGGGTAGGTATTCTAATTTTTTGTTGTTGTTTGATCGGTTGCCTGGTGGGTGAGTTGTTTTTTTCTCTCCTGTGTCTCCCGTGCCTAACATAGTACCTCACAAATATCTTGAATGAAGGAGGAACTGCTCTTCTGAAGGTAAGGTACATCTGCCTTCTGGACCACATCTTTTCCTCCTTTTTTGGGACCTTATCTCTCCAACTACATGTTTTACCCCATGGTATTTTTGCTCTCTCCTTGGCCACAGGCTTCTTCCCTTTTACCTTCAAAAACAATCTTGACTGTCTTATCTTAAAAAGTAGATGGCCTTTTGTGTGAGTCGATTTTTGCTTTTCACCTAACTTTGCCCCTTCACTGCTAAGCTGCACACATGCTGTATTTACTGGCCGCTTCCTGTGTCTGTCCATCCATGTTAACCCTCAAGAGCCTGTCTGCTACCCATTCCACTCTATGGGCCACTGTTCAGAAGCTTCAAGCCTTACCCAGTTTATGCCCTGTTCTTATTCTTATCTTCTACCACATCTCTATATCATTTGAAGAGGATTATTGCCCACTCCTTGAAATTATCTTTTTGGACTTCTGTCTCTGCTTCTAGTTTTTTCTCCCTCTCTAGTTATTCCTTTTTGGTCTCTTTCATGGATTTAAACTTTCTCTTCCTACATAAAAATGTCCCTTGGAGGACCTCTTTAGGCTTTTTTTCTCTTTTCTTTTGTCTTATGCTTATTTCTTTTCTCTCTCTATTCAAATTATACTCAGCCTTCAAGGTTCTGCTCAAAGTTTTCTTCCTCCATGAAGCATCCCCGAAGTAGACAGTCAAACCTCTCTGTTATCTCTCATTTGCTAAACGTCTCTGACATTTAGCAGTCAGTACTTCTAATCTAGCACCTGCTACAACAGACATGTTTTTTGAATTAGAAATCAAGACTCCTAATCTGACAAAGACTGTTCTTTAATGTATGAATTTAATGATACAGAAAGGCTGACAATGATATAAAATTAAATTTTATTCAGTTAGAGATTTAGTAAATTCCAATTGCTCAGAATAATGAAATTACATAAAAGCAGGAAAGTTCTAGATATACAAGTTGTCACTTCAGTCAGAGTTTATTATCTATGAGTGTTCTTTTTCATTTAACATATCATGTCTATGTTCCTGACTATAAGGTAATTTCTTGACTGTGGGACATAGAGGACTAAGAGGAAGTGTTCCATGAACTTTGATTGAATGGAGACACTTTTTACTGCTTGTTTCATGAACTAACCATTCAAAATGGTGACATACAGATTACTGAAAAGATTTCTAGACCCAAAATAATTTCAAAGTATTAGATGCCTGTAGTCTAGAGCAGTATACCATTCACAGTTCTGTAAGAAGTGTATAATGGTTAAGATCATGGGCTTGGCCTAAGACTTGGGTTTAAATCTCAGCTGTGCCATTTATTACCTGTGTGACATTGTATTATTTAAACTCTCTTTAGGTTCATTTCCTCATCTATAAAATGGGATAATACTTTTACGTAAGCACTCAATAAATGTTACTTATTATGATTAAGCTCCATGTTATACTTGAAAATTTGCCTTTGCAATTGTGTACTTTCTGGTTAGCCATCTTCAAATCCTGGAACGGAAAGTGCATATTTTTGAAGAGTGACAATCATGTCACCTTATTTCATGTAATTCAAAGTGTTAAATTTATAAAATCTTTCTAAAGCAATTCACCAAACTCTACAAACCAACTAAGGGGAAACTTTTCTTATTACCAAATGGCTTCTAAATATTTGAGTTTTACTTTCCTTTCCAAGAAACATCTCATGGCTGCTGAAATCAAAGACTTTAAAAAGTGACTTGGATAGAAGTGTGTGTTACAGCTGGGATACTCCTACAAGTATAGTAATTCAAATCAAATGTCTATGGGTGAAAGAGGTGACAGTGATTGCCAGGCTGTCATCTTACTAGAAACTGGTCATTGTGTCTGTATTAGTGATTTGATATTCCTTGGTGATGACACAACCTTTATTGCTGATTCAGTCAACTATAGTCAAACAGGTGAAGTTGAGAAGATTTTCTCTCTCTCTGTCTGTCTCTTTCTCCCCCAACCCCTGTCATTGAAATCAAACACCCAGTCTTCAGATTTTCACCTGTTGGTGTATTGTATCATCATTTTCATGTGAGAATATCTATTTTCTTTCCAAAGGCAATACATTACAAACCTTCAGTGGCAATTAATAACAATCGAATATTGGTTTCTACTATTTCTATGGTAAGGGCTTAAACTAGAAAGGTATGTGATATTACAAGAGTTAGCGTCTGGAGGACTATACTGGGCAACTGAAACAATGATATATTGCTTTTTAAGAACACTACAGTCACCAGAAGTAAACTAGAACAAACATGTTACGAGCTTGGAGGGAAGCTGAACCCTTACCAAATTAATATGGTTGGAGTTGGTTGAGGAGATTGGAAATGTCAGTGAAAGTTATCCTGATTTTCCTTATATATTCTCTGTAATGCACAGAGAACTCTGGTGAAAACAAAGCCACTACGAAACATTGATCCCACATACTGCCACCTTTAAAATCCACTAAATAATGAAAATAATGTTCTTATGTCATAATTCATTTTCTGTTGCTAAGACAGAATATCATAGACTTGGTAATTTATAAAAATAGAGGTTTATTAACTTGTTGTTCTGGAGCTGGGAAATCTAAGAGCATGGCACCAACATCTGCTGATGGCTTTCTTGCTCTGTCATAAATGGCAGAGGGCATCACATGGTGAGAGGGCAAGAGCACAAGAGCCAGAGAAAATTTGCTTTTTTAACAAAGCCACTCATAATTAGAAACCCACTCCTGTGGCAGGACATTGATCCATTCATAAAGGCAGAGCCCTCGTTAATCCATTAATCTAGTCATGAAGGCAAATGAATTGTGTTTCCAACACATAAATTTTGGGGGATACATTCAAACTGTAGCACCTTATTTCAAAGTAGACATCAATGTCATCAGTAAATTCATTTGTGACACAAACTACAGGATAGTCATTCATATTTTCAAACCCCAACTTACAAATGAGCAGCCTGTAGACTATCCAGAAGAAATTCATGGGCCACATTGATGGAAACTCCTCAGTCTCATAGTGTCATTGCTGTCTGCTATGATGCTGTACATTTAAGCCAGTCTTCCCCATCCATGCCATGCCCAGACAACAGCAGATAAATGCAAGCTTTTCAGATATATTTTATTTTCTACAATCACCTGATTCTCCTCACTTTATCCCCAACTTGTCTGTTCTGTTCAAGTTCTCTGTAGCTCCTGGTTCATGATTGTCTCTCATCTTGGTTCTTCCACTGGCATATCAGACTTGTTATTTTCTCTCGGTTTTCCAAGTTTAAATATCTATGCTCTCTAATGACGGAGGTCTGCAATCTTCTTCTATTCTAGTCTTCATGACTAGAGCATTCTTCATTTTTGAGAATTTAAAATATAGCACTAGGATTCAAACCTTTTCACTAGTCCACCTGTTTTAGGTCCTGTGATATATGTAGGTCCTGTTAATATGTCAGAAATCCTTTGGTATTCCACAAAATGTTTTCATCTGGTAGTTTCTGCTAGAGGCAAGAATCTGAATGATTAAATTCTGATCAAGTAGATTAAAGAGGAATTGGAAGAATAATGAGAAGGGATAGAAAGTACTGGAACCTGATATTCTCCTAAGAACGACAGAAAATAGAGATTTTCACCTCTCTTGCCCTTTAAGCATCAGCCTTCACAGCAACATGCACCAATAATGGGATGCTAAAGATGAAAGCCATTGTCATGAAATGCCTGTAGTTGGCTAATGGCCACCGCTTGAGAGGGTCTGAATGGCCCAAGCTTCTGATTAACATGATAGGAAAACGTATCCTACTCATTATAGATTTCATCAAATACTTATCCAGTTAGGAAGCTCAGAATGTCAGTCACGTATCACTGTTTTTCTCTGAATAGCCTTAATTATAACATCCAGTTTCACTCCTCACAAAGCAGATCACAAGAGCAAAGGCTGTTTCACACTAGGCTCAAGCCTGTCCAAATTGTCATGTTGGAAATTCCCTCTTTGGAGACTTTGGCAAATAGAAGGCTGCCAACCTGTTAGCAAGGAAAGAAGGAACACCTGCACCATGAGTTATCACAACCTTAGACGATGATGATAACTGTTGTCTGTAAAATATGGTCACATATGAGTTGTCCAGACCCAGAGTCAACATTTCTGTGCTGAGTGAAACCAGACTTTCTGTTGAAGGGCAGCCCCTGAGAAGGAATCCAGCCGCAGTTTTCCTTGTAAAGGTCTCCACCCTCCAGCATGAAGGCTATCAGGTGTTGGCTCTACAGTTGGACAATCACTTGTCTCCAAATTCTTCAACTTGCCGAGAGATACTAGTGACCTTCTGGTGACCCTACACCTACCCTTCAAATTTGAGCTTAGTGCGTCTGACTTGGCATAATGGCTAGGAATGTTGCGAAAGAGACATTGAATCTAGATGTAGGTAGTGTCCACAGAGAACAAACTCATTGTCACAAGGGAGCTTGGGCCAAGGAAAATCATTCGGTCTCTCAGGAGTAAGAACTAGAATATATCTGGATTTCTCCCCCTTGCCAGATGTTGCAGGCATCAGTTTGTAATACTAAGTTTATCTTTTACCTAGTAGTTAGGACAAATGCCCGTTTAATGTACATACATTTTCAAGAGTATCATAAGTTTGTCATGCTCTTTAATGGTACCAACAGAAACCTAAGTTCACCAAAACAATTTGAGGTGCTGAGTGGTGTCCTGATAAGTACCTCATTGCTCAGGCTTTAAAGTGTAGACAATAGTCACTAATTTGGAAAAAGAAGAGTGAAGGAGGAAGATGGTTGTCCTACCCAAATGATTGTAGAGAACTTTAATGACACTGGAGAACATGTGAGCTTGGATAAAAGGAGACAGAAACAATGATATTGTTTGCATGGGCATATTGTTTAGGTGACTAGTAGTGTGGGCTCTGGCACCTGAAATCCTGGATTGAAATCCTGGCTCTACCACTGACTAGCTGTGTGATTTTGGACTAGTAACTTGCAGTCTAATCACAAAAATTCAGGGATATAAATCTCCATGCTTTACATTCAATTTTGCTGTGAACCTATGTAGTAGCAGGGTTCTCCAGAGACTCAGAACCAGCAGGAGATAGATAGATATATAGATAGATAGATAGATAGATAGATAGATAGATAGATAGATAGATGAATAGATAGACAGACAGATACATACATACACACATACATATATACATACATACACACACACACAGATAATAAGAAATTGGCTTATGGGATTATGGAGGCTGAGAAGTTCCAATATCTGTAGTCCAAAT